TGCATTAAAATACAACTGCAAAAAAGCAGAAAATATCAAATAAGGTAAAGGACAATAACTTCATTATGGAATGCACAGGAAAGAAGAACAGGTGAATATAAAGTACCTCATAACCAATCCAAGCAATTGAGAGCACTACAAATATCGCAAGGGAATTTGTAAATTTCCGGTAGAGCTCTAACTTAGCCAAGCTTCTACGAAGCTGAATTCAAGAATTAAAAAAGATAAATATAATGGAATTGCAAAATCTTACCTAATCCACAAAAATAGAAGCATCAGTATATGTGATAAAAGAAAACAGAGACAGCACATACATCCACATAATGCCTCCCCACCAACCCCCCCCCCCCTCTCTCTCTCAACAAAAACACAGGGTGCCTATTAAGACGTTCATTTTCTAGAAGTTTTCAATTCAAAGGAATCAATTCTGTATGGAGGAGAGCATTTAAAGTTGAGACTAAAATTTACCCTAAAAAAGGAAATTATAGAAGTATTACCTGCAGCTTCTCCAAAGTGTTTGAAAGGGAGGAGAAAATCCACAAAATGAAGCACGTGTCCATAAACACGACAGGCAACACCAGAACTAACTTGGTTTTCCCAATGAAATCATTAATATTGCCCAAATGTTCATATAGTTCAAGCGCCTCAGAACCTAGAAAGTATATACCTCCAAAGAACATAACCTTCGATGTGATAGCCCCTAAAGTTGGTTTAACCACACCATATCCCATGGAAACAACCAGAAGGAGGAGTCGGGAGAGTGTCTTTTTAACAGCAGTAAAGGTTACTGCCCACAAAGTGACCCCCATTGGCCTAACACCTGTTGCATTCAGATTGGAATAGTCAAAATACCATAATGCCATTTCAAGCATACCAAGGGCAATCACTGCTGTAATGTGATAGTGCAGCTGTATAATATCTTTCCAGAACTGAACAAACCGCAGTAGCCAAGCCAGTCCTAGCAAAAGGTATGCTAAAGACATGAAACCATAAAATTTCATCAAAGGTGTCATTTTTCCAGGCAAATAACCATCCGGATTCTTCCATAACGTTCTTCCACTTATTGTTGTACCCTTTAGTGTCGGATCACAATACATAAAGTACAGATAATACATTCCTGTGCTGTTAATGTCAACAGACTGGAAATCCATCAAGGCCTTGTCGTTCTTTCCTTCAAAGAAAACCTTGATCCGTTTAGGCCATTCACGCTTTTCTGGATTAGGCTGCATTATTACCTCACCTATCTTGCAATGCCCCTCACTAGCAAGGGTTTGATTGCAACATATTGCATCAGTTTTTAGGTATGTTCCACCAATCCGTTCTCGGTCTTTCACCTCAACTATGATAGCTTCCACCGTACTAGTATATTGCTGCCATTCATTCTGCTTCTCTGCAGACTCTTTTGTCCTTGTAAATGTAACAGATTCAAATCTGGAATGCCAATAGCACATAATACCAAACCAAGTATCAGTAATTCTAATATTGAGCAGCACAAAAGCCTGTCGCAACTAATGTTACCAAAAATGTAGACAATGCAAAAGCTCAGTGGATCCATCAAGGCATAAATTCCATAACAAAAGTTTCTAAGTGACAAACTTAGCTCTTTCTGTCACTAAATAGCAGGATCATTTTTATTCTAGGCCGCCTAATATGATACAGAGCAACTCATATAGTCATATCTACAATTAATAATTCAAAAATTTTCATAAATGCCTTATATGATGCTTGACTAAGAATTTAAGTAAAGACTTCTTGTGGACCATAGTATTGCAGAGAAATACAAATTAAAAATCAATGTTCTTTATTCATAACCCCTGATCATGAGCGAGACAGTATAAACTAAGCAATTCTGTAATACATTGTAGTCTCATTACTCCAAAATAAGATCATGTGGCTGCCAACTAATTTAGTAAGTATAAAAGCAATAGGGACTATAGTAATCAAATCCCGACTACATCAATGCCCTTTGAGCTCTCAACACCGAAAATGTAACTAACATAACTAGATTATTTTATGTTACCCTCCCTTAACCATCCAAATACCCAATCCCACATTACAAATAACTGGATCATCAACACGATACACCTTCTTGGCTCCTCACTCAAATAAACAAACCTAACACAAATTCCACAAGCTAGCAATCTTCATTGCAGAAATAATCTCAGGCTAAAAGCTCGCCGTTTTCAATTCTTTTCAAAAGTTTAGCAACGTCTACTATACAAATAACAAATAACAAACAACCCTTAACAAGCTCGAAAATCAACCGCAATAGATTCAACCCAATTAAGCAGCAATTCATCAACCGCCAATTAAAATCTCGAAAATCAAACAATTAAATCCAAAATTGACGGAATACAGTATCAAACAAATCATTCAAATTCATGAATAAGATGATCAAATGATCAACAACTTACAAAAACACAAATTAATTGAAAAAAAAAATAAAGATGAAAATATACCTAATAAAAGACCTGCCTTTGGAACTTTTTTCGGAAGAAGAAGAAGAGTGATCGGAAACCTTAGAAGCATAGAGACCTTCGCTTCCGCCATGGAAGAAGAAGGCGTTAGATTGAGGGATGAATTTTTCATTTCTGTAATCGTGAATTGAAGCTTCAACTTTTTGGATTGAATTGAAGAAGAAGAATGTAAGCCCTAAAAAAAACCCTAATTTTAGTTTAACTGGAAATTCTCTCTCCTCCATTGTTGTTGATTATTCTGTTTTTCTTTTTTCCTTTTTTAATTTTAGGACGAAGAAAAAATAGGGGAAAGACCAAAGGGAAAGGGATGAACAGTGACAAGAAATGTACCAAACACGAGGTCATAAACCACGACAACCGTCGACATGGCACTCTTATATATTTTATTAAAACTTTAAATTTAAGCTCTGTTCACTCCACCTTAAAAAAAAAATATATAGAGTATTCGATAAAAATAAATTCATTTCAATAAAAATAGGTTCAGTAAAAATAATTTCAGTTCAACAAAAATAATTTCAATTCAATAAAATTAATTTCATTTCACTATATATAATTTAACTATGCTCTACAATTAATGCAAGATCATTTTTTCAAAAAAAAAAATGTAGGATCGTGAGCATATTCCTTCCAATTCGAAGTGAATTTTAGCTTGGAAGGCTCCAGTCCCTCATAGAATTTGTACCTTCCTTTGGTTATGCTTCCATGATTGTGTGCTTTGCAATGTTAATAAGCTAAAAAGGTACGTAATAGAGAATCATTATTGTAATCGATGTAATCAACACACTGATGAGACTCTTCTACATTTGCTAGGGAATTGCCTTGTTGCTAGAAAAGTATGGAATTGGGTGACACAACCCATTACCAATCCTTATTTACGGGTGATCTTACTACCTGGCTGATGCGCAATTTAGAAGCCGGTCAACAACTTTTGCCACTACCCTTTACAGACTATGGAGGTGGAGGAACAATGCTATGCCTGGAAGTCTTGAGGCAATACTTGCTAACATTAGATTTTTCTTGCGCAAAAAAATTGATGAAATTTGGAAGGTCTTTTCTAGAGAACAGGACTCAAACCAGCCTTGCTCTAAGACTCGAGGCTTGAAGAAAGAAACTCTCATAATATGGATTGCACCACCAATGGGCTGAATACGGATGGAGCGGCCAAGGGAGCATTAGGAGGTGGGGTCATTCGTGACAGTATTGACAAGGATATGTGAGGTTTTGCAACAAATTATGGGATTTGTACAGCCTTTAAAGTTGAGCTCTGTGCTGTTGAGATGGAGCTTAAAAAGGAATGTAGTTTGGTAATCTCGAAGCTAGTTCTACAGATGGATAATCAGGCTGCATTAAAGCTATTAAAAATCCCGGGCATATGGGAGGTGAATGTGTGCATGCACATCGTCATAGTTTAATGTTTTGTTTTAGCTAGAGAAGGTAATAGGGTGGTTGATGGTTTAGCCAATTTGGGTGTTTGACTTGAAGAAAGGATTGTTTATTTTGATACGCCTCCAATCGAAATAAAGTCTCTTTTAAGGGAGGATGTCATAGGCATGGCTATGCCACATTTCATTATGATTTAATCACTTTCTAATGTGCTATACACTAAATAATCCTTGCAAGAAAGCTAAAAAGATCATCTTCATCTTAGGCCTAATTTAATTGAGTTTATTTGTAATTTTTTTTCCCATTGTGTAACTAATTGTGAAATTTAATTCAAGTCATTTTATGTATTGAATTGTAGTTTTGTAATTGAGCTTGGTTAAGGCATTCCGTTAATTGATGTGTTTTATTTAGTGATAAAATAACACCTAATTTGCTATTAACTTCTATTTGAGATGATAATAAACTCTTTTGAGCTAACGCAAGCCCGATCAATTTAGATCACATATAAGTTACATCGATTTAGGTCAAGTCAATTAAGATTCATTCAAATTTGGTTTTTATTATTAATAATTTCTTAAAAATTATTATTACGCATTGATTATTGAGTCGAGATGTAATTAGGTGAAAACAAATTACATGTTAATTTTCTTTTAATAGTTTTAAAACTCAAACATTGTATATGCCTATTTCTTGAAATTTAGCAAAGTATTTATCTAATCCATGTTTTGTCCATCTAGCCTAATTGAAACTATTATGATGTGATTTGATTTGAACTTTTATGATTTGATCCAATTCCATTTGATTTGATGCATGACTTGAACAAATTCTTAGAGGCATTTACAAAGCTATTTTAGGGTGTGTATTATTCACCCGATTTTTACTAATATGAACTTATTAAAACATATTAGACCCTATTAAAAAAAATTTAATTGTAATTTGTACTTAAATAACCTTTATTAGATTTTTTTTTTGTCCTGAATTGAGCTGATATAAACTTAAACACCGATTAATCAGAAATTTTAATCTAAGAAATCAAGCCTCGACTAGCTCTGTTCTCCGATAAATGATCCCTCCGATTGCAAATCAAACATAGCCATAGCCATAGCCAAAGCCGTAGGGCCCAAAGTTCTCTAATACAAACACTAATTTTCGATAACTTTCAAGTTACTCTAGTTTGTAGGAACAACCGAGCAACCGTTTCCTACACTCCAGGAAATAAAAGGCTAAAAATAAAATAAAAGAAACAAAACTTGAAAAGAAACTCCACATCAGACTTTGTTTTCCTTTTTTTTCGAATTGGATTTTGATTAACTTCATCATCATCTAGTTTCCTAACACCTACACAGTACAAACAAAAACTACTTCTTTTCTTTTCTTTTCATTTTTTTTTCCTTTCAAACCATCAAAAATCAATACAATTATCCCTTTTGTACGCAACAATTTCAATTAAATTCCACTTCTGGAAACAAATTTAAGGAACTCCCTTAAATTATTTTTTTAATGATCCTATAAACTAGATTATCACACATAGATTACACTTTAAATCTTCAAATTAATTTCTGGGTTTTCCTCAAACACTACTAAAATCCCTACATTTTGATCTGGGTGTTTAATTTTTCAACCAGATCCTCAAAAAGGAAGAAAATTTATGGGAAGAAAGATGAAGAAAAACACAGAGCATTTGGTGATAATTTGCTTCCTAATCATGATTAATTCTTGTTTAGGGAGATTTGTGGTGGAGAAAAACAGTTTAAAAGTGACATCCCCAAGTAATCTGAAGGGTATTTATGAATGTGCAATTGGGAATTTTGGGGTCCCACAATATGGAGGTGCAATGGGTGGAATTGTGGTTTTTCCAAAATCTAATCAAAAGGGTTGTAAGCCATTTTCTGATGATGAAATTACCTTCAAACCTAAGCCTGGTGGATTGCCTGTTTTTCTCCTTGTTGAACGTGGGGGTAAGTTTGTCTTCTTTCTGTTAATTATGATTAGTTTTTTCTCCATTTCATTTAAATTATGTTTGAAAAATTGTATCTTGATTTGGTGGGTATGATTTATTTGAGAATCTTGATTTGCATGTGATGTTTGGTTATGTTATGTGTGATAAATGTGATTTGTATGTTTGTTTGGATGCTAAACTCAGTTTATTTTCAACTGTGGTCTTTAAATATTCCCTAATCCTATTTTTTTATTAATAAACAAATCTAGTGTTATTAAATTATATGTATTAATGTTTATGAATATGACAGTATCTAGGATAGATCATAGATGATGCTGGATTTGGTCTTTCTTGGTTATATCTTTATGCATGTTGGATGAAACTTTGACTTGGACAGACCTAGCCTTTGTCCTTTGTATATTTGTAATCCTTTTATATTGCTGAAGCCATCTTTTATTGTTCCTGTGAGATGGGTTGTTTTCAAATGTTGATGCCTGTTAATAGTCCTTGAAGGCAGTTACTTCATGTTTATATGTGATTTGATTGAACTAAGAAATGTAGCACTAACTACTTCTCAAACTTGATCGAGTGTACGATGAATGTGAGGCTTTATGTGAACCCTTTTTTTTTTTTCCTTTTATAATGTCACCGGCATTCTGATTTAATGTTAGATAAAAAGTATCAGGATTATCCTTTTCTAAGCTTGTTTTGTTCACTTTGTGACTTTTTATTGAGTTGTTTTCTAACTGTCAAGTTTCATGGTCTTTGCAGAATGTTTTTTCACCTTGAAGTCATGGCATGCACAGAATGCTGGTGCTGCGGCTGTACTTGTCGCTGATGATAGAATTGAGCCTTTGATTACTATGGACACCCCTGAAGAAGGCACATCTGAGGAAGATTATGTCCGGAATATCACCATTCCTTCAGCCCTCATTAGCAAGACATTTGGAGATAAGCTGAAGAAGTCTTTATCAAAAGGCGAGATTGTGAAAATCAACCTTGACTGGAGGGAGACAGTCCCACATCCTGATGATCGAGTTGAATATGAGTTTTGGACTAATAGTAATGATGAATGTGGGCCAAAGTGTGATGCTCAGATTGATTTTGTAAAGAATTTCAAAGGCGCTGCTCAGATACTTGAAAAAGCTGGTTATACTCAATTTACACCTCGCTATATTACATGGTATTGCCCTGAAGCTTTTATCTTGAGCAAGCAATGCACTTCGCAGTGCATCAATCATGGGCGTTATTGTGCTCCAGACCCTGAGCAAGATTTTACAGTAGGTTATGATGGTAAGGATGTTGTACTTCAGAACCTGCGCCAAGCTTGCTTGTTCAAGGTAGCTAAGGAAAATGGAAAGCCGTGGCTTTGGTGGGACTATGTTTCTGATTTTGCAATCCGTTGCCCTATGAAACAAAAGAAGTACACAAAAGAGTGTGCAGATCAAGTAATCAAATCTCTTGGTAAGTTATAGAAGGTCAATCCTTGTATCTTACTAGTCTTTCTCAGTTCGTTGAAACTTCATAAATATTCAATTTTTTGATAAGTTTTGTTTTACTACTAATTAGTTGACTCAAATCCTCTAGGTGTTAGTATAAATCAGTACCCTTTCTGTCCCAATACTATTCTCTTGCTTCCTTTTTCAGGATGGAAGTCCTTATTTTGTGTCTACATACCATACTTGTTAACTTATTCATTGACATTTCCCATTCTACCTTATTTCATTCTGTTTTTTTAGAATTCTATGATTCTTTGATTGTAGTAAAGGGAAAAAGGAGGTTAAGTTAATTTGGACCACGTTCCTTGCATAGTTCAAACACTTGACACCATAATGTTGTCAACCTACAATGCTTTTCAGAATATGATTATATCCAAATTTTCCAAGTATAAGAGGGGTGTACAAATGAATCATTTTGTTTAGTTTTAAACAATTTTTACAGAGCTCTGTCATCATTCTCAGCATATAAATTTTGTTGAATTGAACATTGAGTTAGGAAAGAGGATATTTTTACGAACTAGTGTGCCACATGGTCCAATGTACTATTCCATATTAACTTATTAAGTAGCTCATATTACAAATTGCTATGGGATTTTTTTGTCACTAGATTTGTTGTTGGCTGATTTTTATGCCTTGCTATGCCCTTTACTCCACTTTTACAAGCTAGAGGTTATATGATTATGTTGCAGCTCCTAAGAAGCCAGTGCCTGAGATGACCTGTAAATTTCTTATATTTCTGAATTGCCATTATTTGATGATTTAATTGTATTGTTCCTGATTTCAGTTACATGTCTACTATCCTTTATACTTACTGTTAGAACTGACGTGGTTTTATCCCCCCCCCCCCCCCTTTCCTTTCTGCTTTCTCCTGGAAAGATTATTCTGTTAATTTATCTTCTATGTGCTGTATAGGTGTTGACGTTAAGAAAGTAGACAAATGTATTGGAGACCCTGAGGCTGACGTGGAAAATCCTGTCCTTAAGGCAGAACAGGAGGCACAGGTATATGAACATATATTATTTGATGTGACATCCTTTTTTTTTTTTCTTTCTTTCTTCCCCCCCCCCCCCCCCTTGAAGTGTGGTTTATATGTTGGTCCTAAGCCTAGCCCTTCATTAAATTTGTTTCAGATTGGTCATGGTTCTCGGGGAGATGTGACAATATTGCCAACTCTTGTAGTAAACAACAGACAGTACAGAGGTTTGAAGATGATATATTGATGTTTGATTTAATTTCTGGTTGTAATTGTCCAAATTATATAGATGCATCAACTTTTCGATATTTTCAGGTAAATTGGTGAAGAATGCTGTTCTCAAGGCTATTTGTGCTGGTTTTGAAGAGACCACCGAACCTTCACTATGTCTAACCCCAGGTCAGCATTAGCATTACGTATAAAAGACACTGGATACCCCCTTTATTTTTTACCAGTTGGCTGGCTATTTATGTGGGGCTACTGTTTGTTTAAAAATGCTAATGATAGTATCCTGAACTAAAAATTGATGAAACAATAAAACACTATGTTCCAGAAAATCTATTTCCCGGGCAGGGGGATGTGTGTGGTTTAGCCTAAGGGGAAAGATAATTACCTTGAAGCCAACTGTTGAAGGTCTGTTTAATTGCTTGATGATGGTTGTGAACTATATGTTAACAGATGTTGAAACCAATCAATGCTTAGAGAATAATGGTGGATGCTGGCAGGACAAGGCTTCCAATCTTACGGCATGCAGGGTAAGCACAACAACTCTAGCTTACTGTGACTGTTGAAAGAGTATATAAATATCAGAGAAGGTTAGTCATCAGGGTAATGATTATGAATTTATATCTTATACATCTCTTTTGCTCAGGATACTTTTCGAGGCAGAGTCTGTGAATGTCCTACGATGCAAGGAGTCAAGTTTGTTGGTGATGGTTATGTTCATTGTGAAGGTAATTATATATTGATATATTATATATCTTAGGCATATTTGAGGGAGAACCTGGATTATTTCACACTTTCCTTTTTGGGTTAAAATTCAACAAGTTACTTTAAATTTTGGAAATTTTGAAGTGTCTCTCTTTTTTGGAAGCTGAAATCTCAGTGGTACTCGTTGTTACTTGTATTATATACAGAGTATAATGTGACACTAATGAACTGTTATATGTTAGCTTATTATTTAATTGGAGCATAGGCTGATTTTGAGTTGACCATGGTTGAAAATGATTTGACATAAAATCTCATTGTTGATGTGCCTGACAATAATTTTCTGGAGATATCCCCTCAAAAAAAAATTTCACCAAAATGCAGTGGCCTTAACTCTACCAGTATTTGCGACCACCAAATTTTGTGGGTGGATTTGCGTTTGATTATTGGGTAATTTTTTTTTGAGATTATGAGAGAGAGAGATAAATTGCGAGATTTTTGAAAGAGAGATGAATGATTAGAGAGGGAGGGAGATGCTGAGTTATTTTTGGGTAGGTGTGTTTGGATTGGGTAATTTGGAGGAAAAGGGAAGGAAGACAGAGTGAGGGATTCATTCTCCCTTGTTTAGATATGACTTGGGAGAGAGGAGAGGAAAGGGAGTTGTAGGGATCCAATTTCCTCACTTTTAAATAAACCAAACCCTTCCAATATTGGAAAGATTTGGAAAGAACAGGAAAGCTCGTATCTTCTCTCCCGTTACCTTCCTTTCTTTTCTCTCTCCTTCCACTCGTTCCCTTTCTTCCACTATGGCTATCCAAACATAGTTGTTGGGTGGGTGGAAACTGCTGTATGGGCATTTGGGTAGTTTAGTAGTTATCATTACCAACCCTTAGTTAACCATTGTTTGCAGTAATTGAGAAATTATTCGCCAAAGCTTCATTATTGCTATATTAAACATAAAACAGTAACACAAGATTATTTCACACACTTCTAAATCTTTTGGCAACCAAACATAATTACTAAAATAAATTGCATCCATTGAGAATTTCCTTTTTTTAAAAAAAATAAAAATAAAAAATCATTTTACCCTCATTTCTCCATCACGTCAATGTTTCTTTATCAATCCACTTTCAACCTATCTTATTTTATCGCTACTGTTAATCTCCATGTAAACTGCCAAATGCGTATATGAATAAAATATAGGGACTGAGAGAGCATGTTGATAGGGGAAAAGACTCGGATGTGCTTGTTTGTCTTAGCTCCTAGCATCTGATCCTGGTTGTTGCTTTCCACTTAGCAGTGTCAGGATTGAGGATAGGAATAACCTGTAGCCTTTAGGTGTTGCACGTTGCTTTCTGACATTGACATTAGTCTACTATGTGGAATGTAGCACTCATATCTGTTATTAATACCTTTTGTTTTTCAGCATCCGGACATCTACACTGTCAAATCAACAATGGAGGATGTTGGAAGGATACTCGTGGTGGCAGGACATATTCTGCTTGTGTGGTAAGCTCTTCCGAGTTCCAACTCTCTGATTATTGCAGGATTATTTCGCTAAGACGCACATGAATAAACACAGAAGATCTTGTTAATAATGAGATTGATTTCTATATTTTCTTTCTGATTCAAATTATACATCTTTTGCATGTTCAGGATGAACACACTCATGGATGTAAATGTCCTCCTGGGTTCAAGGGAGATGGTATTCACTGTGAAGGTACATTTTTCCATTGTTATTTTTGCTTGATCAAATTGTCCTTAATGCTAAATGAACTTGATGCGATTTGTTTTCTCTCTTGCTAAGGCTAAGTTTGGTTTGTGTGAGTTTGGAGTGGCTAACACAAGGCTTGCTGTTTAAATGTATAATAGTTGTGAAGTTCTGGAAGTACTGTCAGATTTTCATAAGAATAAGTGGAAAAGAAAATCCTTTCAGACCATTTTTCATTCTTCCCTACATTAATGAATTGTTAAGCAATAACTTGATGTGACGGTTGGACTGGATATTGTTACGCATGGATAGCAGAGTTCTTTTTTGGATTTTTGACAACTCTTCCTCTATTATATAGAGTAGTAAAGAAAAAAATTATATACACCTTGTGGGCCGACTGCTCTCACAGAATATTTTTCTCCAACTCTTCCTCTATAAATTAAAATCAACATCAACATTACTCCGATCCCTTTGAAAATTTTCCATCCAGCCAGGTGTAAGGGGGTGGTACCAAGTAGCCTAATACTGTAATTGTAAGAGGGCTATTTTCATTTTTAAAAAAGTAACAGTCTATTATGTATTTTATCTGTGTTCATACTTTCTGAAGCCAAAGAATAGTGAAACCTATCACTTCATTTGAAGTGAATCTTTTCCGACTCTTTTGTGTTTATTTATTTATTTTTATCCAGATGTGGATGAGTGCAAGGAAAAAGTAGCCTGCCAATGTCCAGAATGCAAATGTAAGAACACTTGGGGAAGCTATGAATGCAGCTGCAGTAACGGTTTGCTGTACATGCATGAACATGATATGTGCATAGGTGAGTCACCTGTGAAATTCCTCTCTGGTCTTTAGATGTTTTGTCCTTTCTTCTCTCTCTCCTAGTCCTTGAGGGTTTTGCAACACAGAAGCATTAGCATGCAAAACTCCCGTTGTAAATCTTGTGGCATGCATACTCAAAAGTATAAATAGTGAATCTTTCAAAAAAAAAAAGTATAAATAGTGAACGAGTGTGGGATCTTAATTCAATTCTCAATTGTGCCCCTGAACAATTGTGCTTTGTAGAGTATTATATAACAATAAGGATAGATTACTAACCTGGTAATTAGTCACCAACTAATCAAATCACCAAAAGGCGAGTTTCTTATTTCTCCTCTTACCCCGCATCAATCTTTACTTCGCTAATTCCAAGGATGGTTTTGTCAATTTACTAGGGGTTAGCTAAGAAACAAGCTAGTTTGCTTGCCTGCTTGGTGTTACCTAACGATTAGTATTTGTTGGCTTTTTGCGCGCTGTGTAACTTCTTGATGATTTTGAAATCTTCAGGAGTATGGTAGTTATATTAGTGAGTTTTGGCTTTTCAGCTCTTTGCAAAACCTAAAATAATGTTTTGGAAATGTACATCATAAATAGCATAAGTAAAATAGAATATTAGTATTACTAGTTCAGTATTTGTTATACAATGTTGAAAACTGGTAGTGATACTGAGAAAATCCTTAGATTTTGGTACTGCTCTCTTAATGCTGCCCTTTTTCTTTTTTCTGCCAATTGTATATGCAGGTAATGGTAATGGAGGGTCTGGTTGGGGCTTTGCTTGGATGTTTATTCTGGCTTTGGGAACAGTTGGACTGGGTGGATTTGCATTTTACAAGTACAGGATCCGGAGGTACATGGATTCAGAGATACGTGCAATCATGGCTCAGTATATGCCTCTCGATAATCAAGTCGAGATTACCACTCATATACTTGGGGAAGAGAACTGAGAACTCGAGCTCTACGCTAAAGGTTGGCACCAATGACATGGGCTAACTGGATATTGATCAAAAAATTGTTGTATCTTTGCCCTCAATGCGTCATTACTCTTATCTTGAGTTGGGCAAAAAGAGGATTACCCCTAGGCCAAGTATCTGTTCATAAAAGGCTGCATATTTTTTTGGTATGCTGGACTTTTACTGTAGATCTGGCTGTCTGATGAAGTATCCTGCTATAAATAATCCTGCTTGTATGTATAGAATCGTCAATAAGCGATGGAGTTTTGATTTCCATCCATTTTCAGAAGCAGATTACTTATCCTATAGTAAAAAAATATCACTCATCTTGGATTGGTCACGATTAAATGCCTGCATATACATTTGGAGAATTTGTTGGGACTTGTTTCTGTTGGAGGTCATGGCCTAACAACGTCCATCCAAAGGAAGTAGCATTACCAGTTGTGAACTGGTTTACAATGAGCGCCATATCTATTTGATGTTTCCTTCACAGGTATTGTTGGTCGGCTGGGCTCGGGTCTTGTTTAACTTTGCATTCCCTCCAAAAATTAAATAACTTCGATCTTTGGCTGTGGCCCGTGGGATGATAGGATTAAAGATTAATAACAATCTCAACCTAATACAGTATATGTATGCATAAATTAACATGATCTCTATCAAAATCACCAAACCCTATATGAACATTAACTCCCGCACATTGAACCTGTTATAAACGGAATTGCACAAATAAAATAGTAAGAACAATGTTACCGAGAATAAGACTGAGTCGCGGACTATGTCGCTCTCTTTAGAACATTCGCGGCACTGCCTCAAAGTTGTGCAAGCAGCTCGTACCAAACCGGATGCCCCCAGGATAAAACAGTCTTTCACAAGTATAAAATACCGGCGGTTTTGCACCGAACCACCGGACAACGGAACACCAGAAAATCAGAAAGAAACTGCTCGACTGTTTTGAGAGGAAGAGAAAATATATTTTGCAAAAAAGTGGTTTTCTGTATTTTTTCGTGTGTTTAAAAACAAAGCTGGAACCGTCCTTTTATAGGTAAAGATACGTAACAGCTTAAGCATGAAAACGGGAGAAAGATTAGCAACGTTTACTGCAATTAGTGTATCCGTTAAGCAAGAATCAAGGCATTAAATCAGTGTAACGGTGCAACGTTTAGCAGTAAAACAACAACGAGAATCAAGCAATGTAACGGAAAAATTTAAACCAAAACAGTAAAACGTTTTGTAACTGAATATTAATCAAACCGGTAACAAAAATTAAGTTTGTTTAATAACCCGAACCCGAACCCGAACCGACCCAGCCCGGCTCGGCTCGGTTCGGCGCGCGTGTGTGTGATATATGGTTTACCATATAGGTCCTCCCTCTCCACAAAATGTGGGTAGCCCAAGGGCCACACCCCTTTAGCCCACTCTCTATATTATAAAGAGAGTAAAACTCTCATTTCCCACCAATGTGGGACTTTGAGTTTTTTCACAAAATTCACACACTACACACTTGTTGTTCCAACAATCCCCCACTTGAATTTTTTGAAAACATTTTCGAGCAGAATCCATACATATATAGGTTGCGCATAAACAGAAGTGTTTTTCAACTTGAACTTCTACGTAGTGAGTACGATTCAGATTCAACAAGGGTGACTCGAAGTTTTGAACCCTATCTCTGACAAAGTACCACACACAACCTACTCTTGGTGTTGTTCTAGACCCGTGCTATTTCGGCCATGCACGTCTATCCCAGTGTAGTGAATGCTCTAGAAATGCTGCCACACATTTCATAGGAAGCGGCCTAACTTCCACATTCACATAGGTGAATCTATCAAGAGTACTCCTGTAGCTTGGTACTCCACTCCAAATTGGAGTATAGATTTCATTAAGAGTTCCTATTAACTCATCCTTGATCGCTTCAGGAAATTATGTCTTTTGAACATATTCAACTCATATCACACCATAACTTGTTATTACCCTTTGAACCTATTTCTTGGGATCTCCAGTTCATAGGTTGGGTTACCATTATGTGTGGTTCATTTCAATGGCAATAGTCCCATTTTCTTAGAGGAAAAATGGACTTTCTCCCTAGCTAATCCTTTCGTCAAAGGATCAGCCAAGTTATCCTCAGTGCGTACGTGATCCACTCTAACAGCTCCGATAGAGAGATATTCTCTCACAGTGCTGTGCTTACGACGTATTTGTCGTCTCTTACCGTTGTAATAACGGTTCTGAACTTTTGCAATAGCCGCGGTACTATCGCAATGGATCAAGACAGCCGGTAATGGCTTTTCCCATAGGGGAATTTCACCTAGCAGGCCTCTTAACCAACCTGCTTCTTCACTAGCCGTAGCTAGTGCTATCATTTCTGACTCCATGGTGGACTGAGCCAAAATAGTCTGTTTCTTAGACTTCCAAGATACAGCTCCACCGGCTATAGAAAAAATATATCCACTAGTAGCCTTAGAGTCATCTGATAAGGTGTTCCAGTCAGCATCACTATAGCCTTCTAGTACAGCTGGAAACCTTTCATAATGCAACCCTAGGTTCATGGTCCTCTTAAGGTATCTCATGACCCTTTCAATAGCATGCCAATGCTCATTACCAGGACAACTAGTAAACCTGCCTAACAATCCCACGACATAGGCAATGTCGGGTCTAGTACAATCAGTGGCATACCGAAGGCTGCCAATGATGCTCGCATAATCAGATTGCCTTACGGCATCACCAGTGTTCTTAAATAATTTAACACTGGAGTCATAAGGTGTATTAGCAGGTTTACAGTCAAAGTAACCATATTTCTTTAGGATTTTCTCAATGTAATGAGATTGATCCAAAGAAACTCCATTTTCTGTCCTAGTAATCTTAATTCCAAGGATTACATTAGCCTCTCCTAGGTCTTTCATGTCAAACTCAGCATTCAACAATAGCTTTACATCATTCACAGCATGAATGTTCGAGCCAAAAATTAACAAGTCATCCACATATAGACAAATTATAGTGCATATGTCATTCTCAAATTTTACATACATGCATTTGTCACTACCATTTATCTTAAAACCATGTGAGATGACTAAGTTATCAAATTTTTCATGCCATTGTTTAGGTGCTTGTTTGAGACCATAAAGAGATTTATCTAGCTTACATACCAGATGCTCTTTTCCTTGAACAACGAATCCTTCCGGTTGATCCATGTAGATTTCTTCTTCCAATTCACCGTTCAAGAATGCAGTCTTTACATCCATCTGATGTACTACAAGATTAAAAACAGAAGCAAGAGATATTAGTACTCTAATAGATGTTACTCTAGTTACAGGTGAATAGGTATCAAAGAAATCAACATTCTCCCTCTGTCTGTAGCCTTTAGCTACCAAACGGGCTTTGAACTTATCAACGGTCCCATCAACTTCCAGCTTTCTTTTTAGGACCCATTTGCAACCAATTGACTTGCAGCCTGGTGGCAACTCAGTTAGATGCCAAGTTTGATTAGACTCAAGTGAGTCCATTTCATCGTTCACGGCTTCTTGCCATAAATCTGCATCAACTGAGGTTAGAGCTTCTTGGAGGGTAGAAGGATCCTCCTCTACATTAAGAACTACAAAGTCTGGGCCGAAGTCTTTTGCTACTCTAGCCCGCTTGCTCTTTCTTAGTTCGGGTTCAGCATCCAATTCTTGTGAGTTAGACCTGACTTTAGGAATAATAGAGGTGGACGAACCCCCACTATTTCTAGATTTAAAAGGAAACATGTCCTCATAAAAATCAACATCATTAGATTCAATAATTACACAAGCATTTAAATCAAAGAATTTATATGCCTTACTGTTAATAGCATATCCAATGAATACACATTCATAAGCTCTACTAGCTAATTTAACTCTTTTAGGATCAGGAATCCTAACATATGCTAGACAACCCCAAGTTCTGAAATAAGAAATGTTAGGTTGTTTATTACGAAGTATTTCATAGGGAGAAACCTTACTCTTAGTCTTTGGAATACGGTTTAAGACATAACAAACAGTTAGTAGAATTTCACCCCACCAATGATCAGCAGCACCAGAATATAAGGAAATAGCAACTACTAATTCTGTAAAGGTCCTGTTTTTCCTTTCAGCCTTTCCATTCATTTCTGGGGAATAAGGAGCTGTCCTTTCATGTATGATACCATGTGATTTATAAAATTCTACAAAAGCATCGGTATCATACTCAGTTCCACGATCACTTCGTAATCTTTTTATTTTCTTGTTAAACTGATTCTCAAACTCTGTTATAAACAACTTAAACATTTCAAAAGCATCACTCTTATTTTTCATCAAATAAATACAAGTATAATCAGAACAATCATCAATAAAGGTGATAAAGTATCGTTGTCCATTTCTGGTCAACGTTCCATTTAGTTCACAAATATCCGAATGGATTAAGTCTAATGGTTCTGAGTTTCTAATCACTGATTTATGAGGTGTTTTTGTAATCTTAGCCTGACTACAAGAATCACATTTGTCAAAGTCATTGAGAGAGATATTTGGAATAAGGCCTAAATTGCTCATATTTTTTATGAGTCTTTTGTTCACATGACAAAGTCTAGTATGCCAAACATTAATAGTAGAACACAACATATAAGCGGAATTAGAAATTTTATTAACTTCAACATTCAGTTTAAACATGCCATCAGTAGCATATCCTTTTCCTACAAATATTCCATTCTTAGTTAAAGTAAACAAATCAGAACCTATGGTTTGTATAAAACCAGCCTTATTGAGCAAAAAAACAGAAACTAAATTCTTCCTCATTTCCGGAGTGTGTAACACATCTTTCAGAATGAGAGTCCTGCCAGAAGTAAACTTCAACTCAACATTTCCAACACCAGCAATGTTAGTGGAATGGGAATCACCCAACAGTACTTTCTTATCATCGGTCTTTTCAGTGTATGTTTTAAACATTCGACGATCATAACAGACATGGCGTGTGGCACCAGTGTCTATCCACCACCCATCTGATCCACCAGTAAGGTTGATCTCAGTAATCATAGCCACAAAAGGCTCTTCAATCATGCTAGCCTGCGCAGGCACAGGGTTAGGCATGTTCCTGCACTTTCGTGCCATATGGCCTGGTTTTCCACACCGATAGCACAGAAATTGACCAGTACCATTCTTAGGGGGTTGAGACTGTTGTCTTCCATTGTTCTTTTGAACATTCGATTTATTGAAGTTATTCTTCCGGTTCTGAGGTTTGAAATTCTTACCAGCAGGTTTAAGTACTGCAGCAGATCGCCTAGGAGCATTATTAGCAGAGATTTGTAAAATCTCTTCCTTTAGATCCTGTTTTCTGGATTCTTCTTCTATACGTAGCCGAGTGATCAAACTCTCTAAGGAGAATTCCTTAGTCTTATGCCTGAGATTATTTTTGAAATCTTTCCAGGAAGGAGGCAACTTGTCAATAATAACAGCAATTTGAAATTGTTCATCAAGGGCCATACCTTCGGAAATTATCTCATGGGCAATTTTCTGAAGGTCGTGAGACTGCACTTCCACGGAATTATCATCAGTCATCTGGAATTTTAGGTACCTACTGACAGCATACTTTTTGGCACCTGCTTCTTCAGTATCATACTTTTTTTGTAGGGCATCCCACAAATCCTTAGCAGTATTTTCCATATTATAATAGTCATAGAGGTTATCAGACAGACCATTAAGTATATAGTTTTTGCACATGAAATCAGTTTCATTCCAGGTTTCGATTTCACTATTCAAGTAAGCTAATTCATCTTCAGGAGCATTATCAGGAATAAATGGCCGAGGGGCTGTTAAGGCAGAATTAACCTTTTTGACAGTTAAGAAAAATTGCATTTTCTATTTCCATCTTTTAAAGTGAGCGCCCTCAAAACGAAAGGGCTTGTTAAGGTCAGCAGACATAGTCATTTCTTCGGTAGACATAGTGTTCACGAAGGCAGAAACGATTGTTCTAAAATTGTTATAAACGGAATTGCACAAATAAAATAGTAAGAACAATGTTACCGAGAATAAGACTGAGTCGCGGACTATGTCGTTTTCTTTAGAACATTCGCGGCACTGCCTCAAAGTTGTGCAAGCAGCTCGTACCAAACCGGATGCCCCCAGGATAAAACAGTCTTTCACAAGTATAAAATACCGGCGGTTTTGCACCGAACCACAAGAATCAAGGCATTAAATCAGTGTAACGGTGCAACGTTTAGCAGTAAAACAACAACGAGAATCAAGCAATGTAACGGAAAAATTTAAACCAAAACAGTAAAACGTTTTGTAACTGAATATTAATCAAACCGGTAACAAAAATTAAGTTTGTTTAATAACCCAAACCCGACCCAGCCCGGCTCGGTTCGGCGCGCGTGTGTGTGATATATGATTAACCATATAGGTCCTCCCTCTCCACAAAATGTGGGTAGCCCAAGGGCCACACCCCTTTAGCCCACTCTCTATATTATAAAGAGAGTAAAACTCTCATTTCCCACCAATGTGGGACTTTGAGTTTTTTCACAAAATTCACACACTACACACTTGTTGTTCCAACAGAACCCTATAAAATGAAGATTGTAATACACATTATTACAATTAATATGATTACTGGAGTACGTAAATTGTTTAAGTGACCGTGTTTGCTCAACCTAACAGTTTGTTGTTTACTCGTCTCCTAAAAAATACTACCTCCGTTACAGGTTATGTGCAACGATTAGACATTTTCCCTCTCTGCTTTATATCAAATCGTTGCACATAACAATGTATCGGAGGTAGTATAATACTTTCTTCATTGTTTTAGTTGTCACTTTCAATAATCATTACTATTCACAAACTCTACTTGTTACAAAATATAGTTATAGTTATGATAAAAATAAAACTATGTGAAATCTTTTTTATTCTCAATGTAGTTTTTCTTTTTACAATATCAACTTTTAATACTTTGTAATTTTTACTTATTGATAATTAGAATTATTTATCATGGGATTTGCATGATGACAAATGCAATAAAAGAAACATGTCAAAAGCGAAAGAATTATACTACCTCCGTTACATATTATTTGCAACGATTTAATATAAAGTAGAGAGGAAAAATGTCTAATCGTTGCAAATAATATGTAACGGAGATAATACAATCAGTTAATGTAATCATTGTTACAAATTCTAATGGGAACTCAGTTGCTACTTTTGAGAGGAATAGTCAAGCTAGCTTATGGTTTAATGAACAGTACCACACATGCTATAATCAATCAAGTGTAACCTTATTTCCCAGAGTTTTCTCATTTCCAATTTGCACATAAAATTTGTACAGAATAATTTTTTCCAAAAATATCACCGCAATTTATGTCAGAAATTAACACCTGCTTTGAAATTGATCATGTTCAAACAATTATTCCAACTGGAACCCTTAACAAAAAAACCGCCAACAATCCTCTCCCACATTCACAATTAATAATAAATTCTAGGTCTACTAGAAACTTGCTTTATAAACTGCTGATGCTGTGCATAGACTAAAGGTTGGGCAACAGCAAGCAACTTCATGTGCCAGCAAAGGCCAACACACATGCTTATTATTACATGCTAAGAGACCTGCGTTTTGAACAAATTTAAATCGGGACACAGAAAGGGTAAATACAACAAATTTTTTAAAATTATGGACTTGCTTCTATAGTTGATTGAAACTTCCAAGATCTTGCACACAACTGAGCATCCTCAACCTCAATTGAACTCTGAGATCTGCGTTAGCATCACGTGTCATCTGGTGGTTGTTTGATGAAAAAAAACAGTAGGTTCTAATCTACGCTTTAACTGGTTGCCTCCCCATCAATATTTGGTTGCCTCTTGTCATAGGTAATCCTATATATGAAGAAAGCTGCAACTGCCCCACTGTACAAAGATGCATCCAAAATCAGAATCGGTGATGAAAATAGTAGTCATACACAAAATTGTGAATACAAATCAACATTCTGAAACTAATTGCTAAAGCAAATAGGACAGTTAGAAGTTGAAAGCACTCCCTCGGCCAATAAAAAACATCATTACTCAAACATGGACAAGAATACACATCAAATTAAGAAAGAGCAAAATGGAATGGCACTACAGGCTGAAAATAAAACTATTTTCTTGTATATCCTGAAATAAAGATAAGTACTAATTCATGCAGAAAAGATACATGGTTTGACCACCATTTCCGTTTACTTTTACCTCAGTCCAGATTTAGCTGTCATATGCCAATTCAAAATACACTATCAATGAAAATGGTTTCAAACAAACAGGTGTATAATTTGATAATGATGGGCACTGTAACTAAACTTCACAAATTTGTCAGACCACATCAATCCACATTGCAAATCATTATACGATGAGATATATTAAGGGACTCTGTATAATTATTGATTTTGATATATGAAGGGACAATATTTCTAGGAAAGAATATACGATGAGATATAATGTGAGCTATCAGCTGTTATGTTCAGCTTCGAAGAAGCAAATAAACGCAACCAAAACAAGGAGATAGAAGAGGTGGGGGGGGGGGGGGGATGAGCTGCAAGCTCAAAAATGAAAACAAATATTGCAGACAGAAAAAAGGAAACACAAAAAAAGCAGTGGTAAGATAGAAACCTGATGATTGTTTTCAGAAGTCCAAAAAATGTCAACCCCTGCAATAAAAGGTTACAGATTTCAGAAACAATTTTTGAAGGATGTAGAATGTGCAAGTGGACCAATAGATAGGCAGATCAAGTAAAAAAAACACCAATATTACCTCAAACACCAAGCGCGCGTCCCTTAAAAATAGAATGCTAGCAATTGCTGCGTAACCAAAAATTAACATGTTTAGAAATCAAGTGGAATCATTATGGAGGTGATAAGGATAATTATATGGAAAATTAATCTATTATTAGCAGGCTTGAGCCAGTCAACAAACAGAGCAAAAACTTATATCTTACATTAGAAGTTAGAAGAATGCATTTCCATGTCAAACTAAAAGCACTTATATACAGTATTATTATTGCAAGATATTTTGACCTAATAAAACAATTAATTACAATTCTATTTACATATTTATCGCATGCCTGTACAGAGCTAGATTTTTTGCTAATTGCTACAGCTACCTAAACTACATGCCTGCCTTGCAAACTAACAAGTCACTTCATAAAAATGTTTGGCTTCTTCACTTTACAGACCACACTAGGTCTAAAGATTGCAAGTACCAAATCAATAAAAGAAACAATCAGTTGCGACATAGTCAGGTGGGCTGTGCCTGAGTGTGTGCATTGTGCAGCTGCTTGCTGCATCCTCAAGAGATCAATGCAGTCAACTGCAGTTTGGTGAATAGTTTGGCAATTGAAATTTAATAGCTTCTGCCATGATAATGATATAACAAACTTAGTTTTGATGATTCGATTGTTCAGATCAACTATAGGCACAACATATGACCATATGAGCAGTTTAATTTGCCTTTCCATCTATTCCCCTTGCTTGGAGTAGGGGGTAAAGACTACAAACAAAGGCAAAATATTAAAAAAAAAAAAGATTAAAGTATCCACAGAATTTCAAAGGCAAACAGTGCAAGACTGAACCGGTATTAAAATTCAAAATTTTACATATCGTCACATAGACATATATAATATGCCAAGTTGCCAACCAGATACTAACCTGCCTGCCCTTTCAAAGTCGTATCACTAAACTCCCCTTTCCTCCATGATCTTAGACTTGATACGCTCAATGCCAAAAGAATACCCCCAAGGATCACACCAAACCTAATGGAAGAAAGGCTTCCAGTTATCATAAAGTTAAGGAAGCCACCAACAGACAGAATTGTCCCTGCAAATTTAAAAGTTATATGAGAGACCATTCAAGGCAAGAATGAAATATACAGTAAATAAAAAATTAAACTAATGCAAGGAGAAGAAAACATGCATTGGAGTTATTGGACTATGAAAGTTCCAAACAATCCAGGATTATGAGAACAAATGACGAAATTGAAAAACTTTGTTGCATAAATATGATTGACAACAATCATATTCGTGACGTATAATCTTGAGACCAAAAAAAAAAAAAAAAAAAAAGAACTTGGATACATAAAATATGATTGACAGCATGCACATCCTAGACATAATAATGTCATCAGAGTAAAGTAACTCTATTGTTAGAAATCTGCTTTATTTGAACATCCAAGTAAATGTCATACCATATGGTATCCCTATATAGAAATCACGGACTTTAGATACATCATCTAGATCACGAGCAGAAGCAAAGGTCTCCACTACATCCTTCACAGGTTCCGGGGAGTTCTCTGCTGCTGTAGCAAGATATTGTCTACCCTCTTCACTCAACTCTACTGTCATTACACTTAAATCCTGCCTTGCTTGATCAGCTTGAATCTTCAATTTATCGGCAGTGTCCTTCAGTGTAACAACTGCCTTTTTCATATATACTTCATATGCTTCTTGTGAAACACTTTGTAGCTTTAAGGCTTGCTCTTTAAAAGATGCTAAAGCTTGTTCCCAAGCTTCCTGAGACGCTTTACCACCTTTGTTAATATCATCCTTCTCCGTATCAATTTCCGCTTCCGAGGACTTTAGAGTTCAAAAGCATTCAATAAAATATGAGATGTCAATAGAAAGGATCAAGTTCATGCAAAAATAAAGTATATATCTAAATAAAGGACACCAAAAAAAAGAAGAGAGCTGATGTGCATCATGTTCTACCATGACATCTCAACCAACATAGTTGCCAAAAGAAAGGCAATAATGACATGGTGACATTGTAACTTTCACAATACAACAAAGGTAAGAAGAGCTTAAATTGGAATACAAAATCACAAGCTGGCTGCACAGCAAGTGAAAACATAAATAATTGAGATGGATTTCCTCAAATATATTTTTTTGAGGACAACTTGCAGCATAGAGGAGAGGATAGTATATTACAGTGCATTAACTGCACATAAGTTGCACTATTCACAAAATAGTAATAGCATTAAGACAATATGTAGATAGACATTCTACGTAAAAATAATAATTAAAAAAAGCCCTACAAAAACCAACTACAGGAAAAAAGATTAATTTTAAGCTAGATCAGCTAAGAACTATGTACTCTTTCCAATAACATATACTTATCAAAATGATCATATGAATGATATAATATGGCTTTCAACAAAATAAACTGGCACTAAAGCCATCTTAAATTTGGCATTTTTCAAGTTATACAACAGCAATGATCAGTAGGAGAAAATGATCAATTTAAAACCACCCATTTCGGTTCCAATTAGCTGCTCATTTGCTTCATTGACCTTCACCTTTTAAGTTGAAGACGTTGCCACATTTGATAGCAAAATGATTTCATTAGAGGCTCATGAAGATTACACGCACCAATTAATGGATGCAAAAATCTATCATCTCTAGGTCGTAACCACCCTTTTGGGTCCTAGAATATGAATATCAAATACGAAGTACATCAAATGTTACTATCAACATCCTGCCTACCTCTTCCCTTCAGAAACAGGGGATGCGAGAGAGAACCCCAACTATGAACTCATTTGATTCACATTTTGTTTTTTTTACTACGGGTGTGGGGAAGTCGAGAGCAACGGTTAAAAACCTCTGGAAATGATCAAGCCCTAAGCAAGCTTACTAGCACAGAGTCGGGGACCCAATTCTTCAATAGACATAAGAATGTAATTATCATCCAAATATTCAATTCACCTGATTTCTCCAGTACCCAATAATCCAAAAATATATCTATAGACATGAATTGATTAATCAACTGACCTACATTTTCCATTCACATTACGCACAGTAGTACAAATTCATCAAAATTGCATTTCTTTCAACCAATTTTAATTTTCTCTCAATCAAAAACCCTCCATTTTGTTCAATCAAATTCTCCAAACAGTACAATAATCATACCAAAAAAGTTGTAACAATACAATAAACACAACAAAAACACTCAAAATTCCAAACATTAAAACTCAATAGAACGCTTAAAAAAATATATAAACTCACAGATTCTTCGTGAGAAGCAGCAAAAACAACGGAAAGGTTCTTCTTCTGCCGATATCGACTCGGTAAGCAGGACCCAGTTAACCCCTTCGGCGACGCTGCCATACCAGAAACCAGCAACGCTCTTCGACGACGATTGATTGATTCAAATCGCACAGAAAATGACGACGTAGGCGGAGCAAACGAAAAGGACGCCATTGATGAAGAAGAGAGCTTATTCTTCAATGAAATTCCACCCAAATTAGGGTTAGGGTTTGTGAGAGAGAAACATTCAGGAGTCATCATAATTTAGGCGTAAAATTGTACCAGAAAAATTTGAAAAATGAGGAGAGAGAAAATGGAGGAAAGAGGAAAAGAAGGAAGGTGAGTTTGAGTAGGTAACGGTAAGTATAAAAAGGTTGAAGAAAGAAAGGAATGAAGGAACCCTCAGATTTTTGTGAGAGTGACAAACTTGCGCCCTCTCTCTGATATGGAAAACTGAAAGAGTGAGGAGAGAGAAAAGTTTTGTTTTTTTTTTTCTTTCTGTTGTAAATTGACACGTAGGTGTTTCTTTTTTGACATGTAATCAAATTGGGTCCCATTTATTTTACATGTTTACTAGGGCCACTAGGGGTGTTGGGTTCAATGGGTTGTTAATGAGCCGAGTAGTCTGGGTATTCAAGGTAGCTTGTAGGGGTGAAGTAATTCGGTTTAAAATCGATCCGAACCGAAACTGGATTGAATCAGATTGAAAAATTTAAAAATATGGATTATAGATTGAATTCGGTTTGGGGTTTAAAATCGAAAACCGAATTTCAACCTAATACTTTAAGCCCGTTTTCTTTTTTATATTGTCCAACCACTTTCCCCTTTCATATATAAACTTTAAAAAAAAACCTAATTCTCAACTCACCTTTCTCAATATCTTACTCTCTCACAAAGAATGTAGTTAACAAGGAATGGTTGTCCGAATTATCTAGGTGAAGTTCGAATTTCGGGTTTGAATGTTACAAAAGAATGGAACAAATTTCGGTTTGGATTGGATCCTAATTTGAAAAACCGAATTAATTGGGTTGGATTGGATCGAATCTTAATTCGGTTTGGATTCGGGTTGAGATTTCCGAAATTGAATTAATTCGATTTGGATTCGGTTTTGGCTATAATCCAAATCGCAAACCGAACTTTCACCCCTAGTAGCTTGGGTTCGGCTTGTAAGACTTTAAGTCTTTAATCGAATTTAAGTTGAGTCTCGAGTTTTTCCAAACTCGAGTTCCTTAGACCAAAAACTAGATGGGTCAATAATACTCTTGGTGATGGGCATGGGTCGGACTAAGTCGACATGAAAGTTGATTGGACATGGTAAGAAAATGACTCAACTCGACGGTAACATGCTACAAACAGTGCATGAGAGGCACACTAGTTAGCCACAAGTTGAGCATGACCATTATTTTCAAAGTTCACAGAAGCTATGTTACATGGACTTTTCATTTCACCTCAAGTACTCATGTCGAACCCTTGACACTCAGACATGAGTACGATACTTGGAAACTTCGCTTTTTGTTCAAAATAATGAAACTTTATCACAAAATAGTCAAGTCAAACACTCGGACACGTACTCATGTCGGATATGGGTACCTTAGTCCATGTAACTAGGACACAAGCAAGACAAGCCACCTCATCTTTTGTAACCAATTTACCAAATTCGGAGTATATAACGATTACTATAGGAACCAGCTTCGCGTCGGAACACAACCAACTTTTATTTTTTTTGGCTCGCTCTAAGCACGACTTGTTCAGCTTTGTGCACGAGACACAATGGCATGACCGCATGAGGTCTATGAGCACACCTCCAAAGGTAGGCGGTAGGCCCTCCGCCCTTGCCCATCTTTAAAAATTTCCCCAGGTCTATAAAATTACTCCGCATTTTTCTTGCCGTGCCAGTGCCTGGCTGCATCCGTTCCCCCTCTCTCTGTATCCTCCATTGAAGCAGCTTCTGAGCTTTCTGTCTTCCATTGAAGCAGCTTTTAAGGTAATTTTCTTTTTAATCATAGAATATCAATTTCGCAATCTAGTGTTAATCGTTAATCTTATTCAAATTAGGGTTCTTCTAAGGTGGATTATTGAGCTATTATGCTTTGATTGATGGAATTCAAATAAAACGACATATATATTTTAATTGATTTCTGTTGGAAATTTGATGTTTGTCGAATATTTGTAGCTCTCTCAGCGAGTTTGATTCAATCTAGTTAATGTTACATTTAACTTACTAAAGATCAATTTTGATAATTAGTTTCAATTGATTTGTTTTCTTCACTTAGGCTGTACTCAAAGTACTGAATTAGAATTGCAATTGATCATATAATGAATGAGGGCAAAAAGACGAGAGAAAGCTGTTTATATAGTAGAGAGTTACAAAGCATTGACTTCAAGAAACTAGAATGATGGGGTATTTTAGAACCCAATTTTTTTTTTTTTGTGTGTGTGTGTGTGTGTGTGTGTGTGTAACAGTGATCAGAAGAGTGGATTCATTAGATTATTCGTCGATTTGTTGCAAGTTTGTGGAGAATTGGGAATCTTGTTCTATCATATTAAAGCACGAGTAAAGCTTCTAAAATTTGTGTGGCCTATTCATGTTGGGCAATCTCTAGCTATAGGACACATTGCTTGTTGAATTGATTTAGCATGGAATCATTAATAGATCAATGATCTCAACTTAACTCCTTAGTCTACCCGTAGGCTAACAATGTCATGTAAAACATGTTGCTAATCTCCTTGTAGATTAACAAACGAGTTTTATTCGACATTGTTAATCTACGAGTAGACAAAGGAGTTAAGTGGAGATCATTGATCTATTAATGCTTCCGTGCTAAAGAATTTGGAGCAATACATCTTATGCCTTCCGTAGAAGTAGTGTTACTCCTATTCCTAAATCGTGTTCCCTGACCGAGAGGTAGTTTTAAAGTAAAAGGAAACTATTGTAGATCTTATTTGTTGAGCATTTTAGTTATCTTACGGATTTAACACTTCAGTGAGTATCACCTGGCCTTCTCTATATCTCTCCCCTTCAATATCCTTTCTCAACTTCAGGCAACCTTGCCATAGTTTTCTCTGCATCGGTTTCACTACTGGAGCTGGCTCTTTATTCCATTGAGATTTTGCACATTTTACCATTCTTGCACATGGAACCGTTATATGCCAACACATTCTTAGGTTCATTGGGGGTTTTTGCATTAAAGGTTTGTAGCTAATTTGATTTGCCTGTGTTTCTGGGCTGATAAACTGCTTTATGGAGTTGATCTGTTAGTTCACTCTCCCTTAACGTCCTTGTGTTTGAAAGTAATGCTAGGAAGAACTTGTGATGTGTGTTTGAACTCTTTTTCCTAGCTCCCGTCTGTCTAAACAAAATAAAGCCTTAATTAGCTTTCTTCCTGTTTTCCTCTGTATCTATGAAAATTTTTGAGACTCCTCCTTTGACTTTGTTAAAACTCGAGTTGTTTGACTGTGTCTCTCTTGCTGTTGGATTAATGTTTTGTCGTATGTCTTTAAGATCATTTATTAGCTGGACCAGAGTTTTCCCATTTGACTCCTTTTTATTGTCTATACTTCAGGTGCAGGTGAATATTGTGGAGTTTTTATTTTATCATGGTGAATGCCACCAAAGGACTCTTCATTTCCTGGTATGATATAATGATTTGCTTGTGTATCATAATTTCTGTCATTGAATTGTAATTTGTGTGTGTGTGTGTGTGCGCGCGCGCATGACAAAACACATTTTATAATTAAGTACCCGTATATTAACTCTTCCTTCTCTAGTTTATGGGCCCTGGCTGCTACACTTTATCTAGGAACATAGCTAGATCAAACAATACCACTAAGATATACTTGTATGCTATATGCCTATATCACAGGGTTTTTTTTCCTTCATATTGAAATGAAAATGGAGGTAATTCTTATCCTGCACTGTTTAGGCCATTTCAATAAGATTGTTGACCTTTTGTAAGCCCTTGTGTATCAATTCCTTGATCAAAACAAAAGTAGCCAATGCCACACAGTGTGAGGCAGAGCTACCACAAACTTGAATCACTGAATCATAACTAAGTTGGCCATTTGTGTCTTGTGACTGATCGATTGTAGACCAATCAATACCAGTCCTGCTGGAATAAGTTTTGGCTGACTTTGCTTCCATATAGCATTCACTTCCGCTACACGGAGTGGATTGAACTATTGAAGTCCTTACTTTATCCTGTATCCAACTTACGAATTTCAATTTGCTCCAGTAAGGACTTCAATAGCTCAATCCACTCCGTCAACACCCACTCTTCAGCTGCCTACAAAACCATTGCTTTCTCATTGACTGACACCCACTCTTCAGTTCACTTTAGTTTGTCTGAAAACGATTTCATTCTGGTGGATACAAATAGCACACTATCCTGCCATTAAATAGCTTCCTTTTTTTTTTTTTTTTGAGGTACCATTAAATAGCTTCCTCTGTAATTCTAATTTGTGTTATAAAATTTACAAAACTGGCTGTAATTTCTGCGCCTGTTGACCAAGAAAAAAGTTTCTGAGATATGCTTTCAACATTGCGTGTTCTCTTTATTAAGTGCATGTTGGATTTGATACATGTTTGAAATGCTCTGATTGAATGTTTGATTTTCTGATCATTAGTTACCATGCACTCATGGAAATATCTGATTTTTTCATTACTCGGAAGGTCTAATCTTTATATATTTCTCTCCTTGTTTTCCATCTTTTAGCGACATACCCATGGCGCAGTTTATTATCAATATGAATGCTTCATTGCCAGCAAACCAGAAATTCATAATACATGTCCTTGATAATACTCACTTGTTTGTGCAACCTCACGCGGGTGAGATGATAAAAAGTGCCATCGCAGACTTCAGAGAGGCGAATACTTATGAAAAACCGGGTTAATGTTATTCGTTTGCCTTTTGATTTTTAACTTTTTGTAAAAAAAAGTTGTATAATAAATTTCCTTATTGCTTAATCATTGTTGTGATTGGTTAAAATTTTCATAATGAGTCCCATTCATTGGGTGAATTACGCTTTGTAAGCAATACATGATTCTACCATTTGTAAACTTTGTTTTTCCTTTATTTTTTATGATCTAATATTCTAATATGAAGGCCTAATTTGATTTAACTTGACGTATGCTAAGATTGCTAACACTATCTACCAAATATGTATTTTTTATAATGTATTTCAATGCAGAATTAAAAGATATTTAGCTATAAAAATTCGTAAATATAACAATACGTAGGAATGGAATAAGTAAAAATTACTCCGTAATAAGATAGTGAAATAAGGGAAACATAAATACTTGTATAACCTAAGCCCTACTACTTAAATTCTATTCCAATATTGAGAACAGCCAGGCCAAAATTCAGCTGACATCACTGCCTAGCAATTAGCTAACCCAACAATCTAAACTTAGGCTTCATTGTCTCTGAGTATGCTGTAATCGGAATTCAACATATCTACATGCAAACTGCCGCGATATATTTAGACAACTAGACTTGTGTGGATCCTCAAAAATCCATAATCAAGTCCAAACTGTAATATCAGCAGCCTTAAGTCACCATGAAGTACAGAAACCTAGCAGCCTTCAGTCACCATGAAGTACAGGAAAAAAAAAAAAAACATATGTGCCTGCCCTTCGGTGTCACTGAAATTCGACCTCATACTAATGAACTTGACATCATAATACTCATTTCAAGGACTTCAATGGTAACAATTTACAGAGTATTAGACTATTGAAATTTTCTTGTCACGATAATTCTCCATTCTCCAATACCATAACAAGATGACATGATAGCATGAAAATGAAGTTCGTCACACTAATTAACATAAACAACAATTAGCCAAACAATCTCAAACTCCCCATATGGAAATCCTATCAAGTGAGTCAACTTCATATGTGAGGCGTTTATTGATCTGAACATCACAAGTCTTGGAGGCTCTGGTAAACGCCAATAACTTCTGTAAAACTTCAACATTCATGTCATTCAAACCAAAGCCAATCCACATAAACTCTAAAACTTGGGCATTGTTCAGCAAATACTCTACTACTTGTAACTCGTCTTCATTTCCTTCGAAACAAAGGATTCCAATTTCCTTGAGGTGTTCCAACAGACAATTAGGGACGATGTCTGGCGGAGACCACTGGTATATTTCATCATTTATATCCTCCTGAAAATTGTAAGAGATAGCAATTAATAAGATATGGAGTTTTTTTTTTTTAATATTATTTTTATTAATCATACTCGAGATGCGTCACTAACCAAATCCAAAATAAGAACCTCCAAGCAAGGGGCGCTATGGAGAACTTTTGAAAAGCAGGTCCAACCCGAGAAAGGACTTAAATGCATAATCAGCGTTTTTAAATTTGGAAATGTTGGCCAGGTATATCTGAGAGTTGATCCGAGAGCCTTCACAAAGAGTAAATATAATTTGAAGGATGTAATTCAATTGAAAAACAGCATACAAATATCATAAAACCAAATATTTTTTGTAACAAGCAACAACTAAGTTCAGAATATAACCATGAAGCACTAATGTCTAGATACCATAAGAGTATGAGGATATAATGAAGAGAAGAAACTTACACCTAAAGTATTCCACTTCAATATCAAGTTTTCAGCAGCAGCAACTCCCTTTAACAGTTCAAGGAGGCGGTTAATATGTTCAGGACCTAAAATAGTAAGACTGAAGGCACAATAATTGACTTCAACAGTATAGACCCGTACTAAATTTTTCAGCACATACCGAGATAATGAGTCATCTTCTATGGAGAGGCGTTCAAGATTGGGTGTATTGAGAGTAATAGTAAACTCATTTCCACATGAGCCTCCCTCATATTTCAGCCCCAAGTTCAATTTTCTTAAGGTAGAGCTAGAAACATCAATTTTTAGCACTTTTGGGGAATCCAGGTAGCCTAATAAATCCAGTTCTTCTAGCACTGGGCAGCAAGACAAGAGTTGGTTTACAACATCAATGTGATCAGGGAATATAACATCAATATCAAGTAACTTGAGAAAAGGAAAACAAACAACTGACTCTGGTATATGAATATCAAAACATGATTTAAGTTTCAGAGTTACTAATGTGTTGCAAGAAAGAATGAATTGTGCTAAGGGGCGTTCTGGTAACTCGTAAAAGTATTTGTTGATCCATAATTGTAATTTTTCCAATTTGTGGTTTAATACACAGCCAATCCATGCATTTAGACGAGATAAGTCTATTGCACTAGGACACGCAAGGTCAAATGCTTGGAAGTTTGTAGAACTGCAATTTTGAAGCACATGCTCTACAAGATTTGAAAATTTATCAGGATCAGCATTAGCACCACGCAAACTAATACAAGTTATGCCTTTCCAAAGATACCTCCACCTTGAAGACAAAACGCTAGTTTTAACTGCTTCTTCTGTTTCAAGGAAAGAAAGTATCTGAGCAATTACATGATCTGGCAAATCACTTATTCTGTCTTCTTGTTCCACAACTTCCTTGTTGTAACTTCCTTTCTGTATAAAGGGTCTCTTTTGTAGGCTCTTTAGTTCAGAATCCATTAATTAACGTTTAATGCCTAAAAATAATTCATCACAATTAGATTGAGCAGCAAAAACGCTCAAATTAGACCATAACAGCAACACTGAGACAACAACCGTAAAGTACAAATAATAAAGATCAATAGAACAGAACAACAGATACATACATAGGAAATCAAGATTATAATAATGACAATCTTCTACTTCATTTGAACAAGAAATTGGCTGGCATAACAACAATATCAAAGAGGCTACCAAACGCAATAACAAATGATTCATTCAACGCCTTTTATCGAGCATCAATACAAACTACAGGACAACTAAAACGATTTTCATTGAGAGAAGGATCAATATTGATCCTCTTTTCTCATTTTTCAAAGGGAAACTCAGGACTACTAATCATCTAAACTCGGCAGCAAATTGAAACAACTCGACCCATCTAAATCATCATCAATGCATGATAGCTCATTAGAATCCTCAAATTAACAATCGAAACAAAATTAAATCAAGAAACCAAAAAAAAGCATAGATTCATCATCAATCATTTTAAGAAATCTATTGAGGAATCCACAAATTAGCAATCAGAACAAATAGATTTCTAAGACTATGAAACAATCGACACATTAAATCAAGAAATAAAAATGAATTAAGTGTTGTGTCCTTGCATTTAAACAAATTATTGTGCTCTTCAAACTAAAACCCTAACTAATTCCCCTAGAAATGAAAAGGGTACTAATCACAGCAAGATTAAATCCAGATGAATTAGTAACAATAAAATACAGTGAAAAGCAAAGTTGAAATAAAGTACCTGGTAATTGACGAATTGAGATGGAATTAGGGTTTAAGGGAATTGGGAAAGTAAACAATTGAATTAGTAACAATTGAATTAGTAACAATTTCGCGCCATTTGCCGCCCTCTCATGTCTAATTAACCTTTACCAAATTTTATTTTATTTTTTGAATAAACCTTTACCAAATTAATTACGTAGTAATCCTCCACATTTTCCAAACTTTATATTTTCATTTGCCGCCCTCTCACTACAAATGCACTTTTATACAATATAAAAGATCACATTCATATTACGTGGAACGTTGTTGAATTCGTAGGGAAATAAATTTTTGCTACAATGTTTACAAATGCTCCTAATGACTAGATATGGTCATACCTTATGCCAAACCTGCATATTTTGGACGTAAGCTCATTTAACATTCGGCTCACTAAATGTGTCATGTCTAGCCTTTTTTCAAAAGTGTTGCTTAGTACTACTGTGTCACTAATCACACTATTATTGCGCAGTGTACAATACATTAAACTTTGACTTATTATTTATTACTCGTATCAGTTTGTTATCACTCATGTGATATGCATTTAAGTCTCATAGATAATAAAAAAATTCCTACCATCCTATGAGATAGATGGATTTTCCTTTATTAGGTGAAAAAATTCAAAAGAGTACACCTCTTGGACCATTTTACACTACATGTACAAAGTAGTTTAAGAACATGGGAAGTGACAAAAACAACTTTGTTGATGCACGTAAAAAAGGGCCAAAGGGGAGTTTGTTCATGCCAAGACAACGTTGTTTTAGTTGCCCCAAACCAATTCAAGAGCATCCTCATGATTGTATTTTTATACTACCTCCGTTAATTGTTTTAGTTGCAGATAACAATTAACGGAGGTAGTAATATCTATCTATATATACTTTATTATTTTATTATATATTAAAAAACGTTCTTAAAAACGTTTATGTGCCACTTGGCACCCTCGTCATGCCATCTTTCAACTATGAGCATATTCTAATAAAAATGTCTATAATGAGATTCGAACTCATAACCACAAAAATATGCATTAGATGTCTTATCATCTAATACATATATTAATCATGCTTTTATGCTCGACTCATAAATATATAAGTATATGGATTGGATGGAAATCTGAACATTTAGGGTATGTTCTCATACGTTTATTTTCAGTTCAGCTCCTAATTTCCTTCTCTTATAAAATATTCATTTCAGCTGATTTCAATCTATTAGAACACGCCCTTAAAAACTGCAATTCTTTAAAAAACAACGATCCTATTATTTGCCAATTATACTAATCGAGGTAATACATACAAGCAAGAAAAATTAACTACTCCAGTACTCCGTATTGTTATAAATTATTTTTAGTTATTTAATTATTTTAATAATAACTATATGTTTATTTTCATTATATTATTACAAAATATAAACAACGGACATGTTTATATAATTTTTTTTTGACAGGAACACATTTGTATATTTAATCAATAATTTTTTTCATAAATAATTTATTCAAAGGTTTAATGAAAAACTATTATAAATTATAAATAATGATGATAATTAGTAATAAAGAATGAACATGTATATACTATTCAATTACAAATTTACAAGTATTAAAAAAAAAAAACAAAAAACAGAGCATTGTCTGGGCCATACACTAGCTACTTCTTAAATTGCGTAATACGGAGTAGTTGTTATCTTATACTACGTATATAGGCTTGATTTTTTTGTTGTCTTACCATGTCATCTAATCCAAGACAAATTAATCAACTTTTGTAAAATATTTTTCCCACATTGAATCGGTATTGTTTAGTCTAACGTGTATGACTTATCACGTATGTTACTGAATCAATGGTTCCTCTTGTACTAGGTTGAATTATCATTGCGACACTGTCATCAGTAACGCAAATTTAACTTGTCTCATGACGGTCTAAACCCAGCTCATGTTCCCTATTGGTGGATGAACAATCTAACACTTGGTGAATTCTGCTTCACAATGATAGGAAGAGCCGACATCGAAGGATAAAAAACAACGTCGCTGTGAATGCTTGGCTGCCACAAGCCAGTTATCCCTGTGGTAACTTTCCTGACACCTCTAACTTTAAATTCAAAAGGTCTAAAAGATCGTTAGGCCACACTTTCACGGTTTGTATTCGTACTGAAAATCAGAATCAAACGAGCTTTTACCCTTCTATTCCACACGAGATTTCTATTCTCGTTGAGCTCATCTTAGGATACCTGCATTATCTTTTAACAAATGTGCCGCCCCAGCCAAACTCCCCACCTAATAATGTTCTCTGCCCGGTTCGGCCCGCAAAGCGAACCTTAGGTCTAAAAGAAGGGGCATTTCCCTGCTTTCGACTCACGGAGTAAGAAAAATAATGTTAAAAGTAGTGGTATTTCACTTGCGCCAAAGCTTCCACTTATCCTACACATCTTAAGTCATTTCACAGAGTCGGACTAGAGTCAAGCTCAAAAGGGTCTTCTTTCCCCGCTGACTCTGCCAAACCCGTTCATTCCCTTGGCCGTGGTTTTGCTGGATAGTAGACAGGGGCAGTGGGAATCTCGTTAATCCATTCATGCGCGTCACTAATTAGATGATGAGGCATTTGGCTACCTTAAGAGAGTCATAGTTACTCTCGCCGTTTAATCCATTCATGCGCGACATGTTGCATGTCCTGCGACTGTTGCTTGCTGGCTGAGCAATGAGTTTATCACCATGGTTTTCTTAGCTACAAGACCTTTGTTTCCCTACGCCAATAGCTATGAGCCACTATAGCCTAGCAACGCTCAAACATTTAGTTTTGACTTGACCAAGCCATTAAGTATCAAATCAAACATGATGATCTATAATTAAACTTATTGCGATGAGAATGATGTTAGCCAATTCCAAATATCAAATGTGCAATGCGCTTAGCCTAGGAAACCTGATAAATCCACCAAGAGTTCTCCAAAGTAGTAGAAATTTCAAACATCTTATTCAAATAATATTTAGTTAAATATTTAAATTTTTGTATAAAAAAGTTCGTTAAATATAAGTTTAGAAAAATTTGTTTCAATTAGTGAAAAATAGTTTAATTAGTAAAGAAACCAGATTTTAGAAAACATAAAGAACAATTAAAGTTCAGTAGAAAAAAATAATAATTTTAATAAATTTACTGCATCCGTTTACAAATAATTGACACTATTTGACCATTTTTTTGCTATTATATAAAACTAATATTTGGATTATCAAGTTTATGCTACCCTTTTTTATTTTTTATTATTTTTTTTATTTTTTTTAAGAGTTGATGCTATCTCCGTCCCACAATAACGGACACATTAATTTTTTTCAATATACATTTATTATGTTTGAGTATATTTATTTTATTTTATTTACGTAATAAAAATATATCTTGTAATAAAATGTGGTCTTAGATACTTCGTATGTGCTAATATAAAATTTCATAATATGTTATTTTTGATAATTTTTATTAACATGTAATTATGTAAAAAAGTCAAACTAATACATCGATATATGACAAAGTTACACTGTGTCTATTATTTTTGATACGAAGGGAGTATAATTAAAAACACGGTTATATTGTCCTTCAAGAAAAAAAAAACAATTGTACACCATAGGACGATAACCTATTATGTACACGCAGGGTTATTTGCTCAATCAATGAACAAATAAGTATAAGTAAAAATATTATTTACTCATTTATTGATTAAATAAGTAAATGACTGGCGTGTACGATATAAACAGGACACCAGGTGTATATAACAAATTCTACTGTAGGACCGTAGTAGTAACAAAAATGAGCAAACGGGCAAAACTTGAAAAAAAAAGCCCACATTTTCGAATGTTAGATTGTAAATCCTTTTCGGCCCAGAAAAAACGAAAGCCCTCAATTGAACAAAGTGTGTATAAAAACCAGCCACTTTGTCATTAGGGTTTTTCTTCAAGCTTTAAGCAGCAACAGAAAGAGAAAGAGAGCGCAGCAGCTGCTAGCAGGAAAACCCCTCTCATTCATCAACCATGGCCGTCGGGTATTCCTCCTTTCTCTCTCCTCCTCCATTTCCTCCATTGTTGCAGTTTCTAATACCTTCATTCTGCTGTTTTTTTGCAGGAAGAACAAGAGGATTTCCAAGGGTAAGAAGGGAGGCAAGAAGAAAGCGTATGTTTTACTAACCCTAACTTTATTCGAATATCTCGATTGGTGATTTTTGTTGAGGTTGATGTTGTTGTTGTTGTTGTTGGTTGATGCAGTTCGGATCCCTTTGCTAAGAAGGATTGGTATGATATCAAGGCTCCTTCAATCTTCAACATTAGGAATGTTGGCAAAACCCTAGTTACCCGTACTCAGGGTACCAAGGTCAGTTTATTTATCTCTCAATTTGGGGATTTACTAATTCATTGATTCTGTTTGAATTATTGTTGTTAAATTTATTCATAGAAATGTTCATGAGCTCATAGTATCATACATGTGTAATGTGTTTGTATGTGGTCTTGTGTGATTAGAGTATTAGATCATCCTGCCAAAAACAGAGAAATGTACTCCGTAAAAGCAATTGAAAGCAGTGCGATAGCTTTTTTTTTTTTAATTTTTAAGTTACACATCTTACAATAGCAATTGAACAAATTATATATTGTAGATATGCTTTTTCATAAAAAAAAATTAATCCATCTTAAATAGATGTTTTAGAATTAAAGCGGAGAATTTACTGATTTTATATGGTTTTTTTTTTATATCTTTTAAAAGTCAATTACAGTCTTGTTAATTGAAGGGTTGAGATTTACTAAATTATAATGGCCACCATTTCATTGTAGCTATTGCAAAACTGTCTGTTATGGTTTATACAATGATAGTATTTGATGAAATTATGTTTTTTTTTATTCCTATAACTAGATAAGATGTGTTTTTATATTGATGCAGTAAAGACTGTAATTTTCAGTGAGTTTTGCTTGTATATTTGATCCTATGATTTAATGTGAGTGAAATTTGTATTCTTCTGTTTTGGGTTCTTTGTTTAATTGCGTATTTTTTCTGTCGTTGTTGGATAGAGTTACATGTGGAAATGTCATGAACTGCATTGGTTGTTTGAACCCATTTAGGTTAGGTTGATTTTGCAATTAGGTGATTATCCAGGAATTCCAAGAAATAACTTTAGTAGTGGTATGAAACAAAAGTTATTAATTTTGCGAAAT